CATAGCAATCAGTCCATTGTCCCAAACATCACGATCAGGCTTCTGAAGAGCAAATACAAGATCAGTGAGCACATTACACAAGAAACAGAAAATTGTTATACATCAAAAGTCTTTGTTTAAATCAATGTCAACACACCTTGATGTCCTGAAGGACAATGCGTCCACCTCTCTTGTTCTGGAACTCCATGAATTTCTCAGCATGTTCGCGCTCCTCCTCGCTGTTCTTCTTGAAGAACTTGGCAAATCCATTAAGGGCTACATCGTCCCGTTTGAAGTAGTGAGCCTGTTGGAAAGAAAATTTATTTTAGAAAAATATTAAACAGCTATTCAATAAATAAACAAGAGAGATAAGCAGAGCTCTGGCTTTAGTCATGATTAATCTCATATATGTATATTCTCATATATACTCATATTCATGTATAATGCAACTGTTTATGGTGTTACTTATTTATGTTTCTTTTCCCATCTGAATTCTGAATAGATAAAAACGTGTGTATGACAACCCAGATACTTTTAATAACCCAAACATTAATTTTACGTAGTTAACGGAGAGATCCTATTCAAACAGAAGAGTGATTATCTATAATAAACACTTGCCATGGAGGTGTAGGTGTATCCAGCGTAAAGCTCCAGATTGATCATCTTGTTGATCGAAGCCTCGCAGTCGCTGTCGTAGTTCTGGCGGATCTGACAAGTCTCCATCTCTGCGGGATTTACTGTTGTATTACCAATATCGCTGGAACAAAAACAATTTCGACGAGATCGAAGTTCCGTTCAATCACTGTTGAAGCAAGAACCTCTCCGGATCTTCCTGAAGCTGTGAGTGAAATGAAGGAGCGCGTTCATCTTTTATTCGCTCATGATGCTGCGTCAGTGGAACTGAAACCAGCAACCAATCAAAAAGTGCAGAGTAATGATGTGACACCACACTCTGTTGACATTTTGTAAGATAAAGTTTTTAAAAAATCATTAAATGAACATTTACATTGTGTTGTGATCTAACTGAAGTAATCAAACAATATATACGGTTGGGAATAAAGTTTGCGTCAATGGAAAACGAATTTTATTTATTTATTTACATATTTCAAGGATGTTCCAGCTCACAGGTCTAGTAACTTGTTTTCTTTTTTGTTTCTTACTAGATAATTAGCGACATAAATTGTGTAATATAAGTACTAATTTATTCATGATGATGTTATTTATTGATTAATATGCAGTCGTCAGCAGTGGCAAATAACAAGATTTTGCAACCTACAGGTATAAGCCTTTTATATGGCAGATTTAATCAAGGCCATATCACAAGTCTGGTCGCATTATTCATATATTATAAACAATAAAAGATAATAGATGTCAACAAAGTTTTAGAACAGTTAAACATGATTTTCTAATATTGTGTTCACATAGGCCTATTATACAGACAATTTAGCACATTTTTTTCTAATCTAATTTATCTAACAAATATCAGATTTTCAACAATGCGTATGATCCTGAAGAGCAACAACCTGTGTGTTATATAATATCATGGGACAATATTCTGCAATAATTTGCAAAAGTGATGTCAGTCATCACCACCATGCATTCAGATTTAAAGAAATCAGCTGGTTGACAATGACAAAGCATGTTTACCAGTGTGAAGTCTCAGTCTGTTGGCAATAAAGAGACAAAGACATGATACTGGCTGTGTTGCTGCGTGACTCAGCAATTTATCATATGGAAAATGTGAGCACATTTGTTAGTCTGAATTCTATAGTGTGAAAGCTTCTCTTATACACCTGCTTTAACCATTTTTAGATAAGAACCACCAAAATAACCATCATAAAAGCCATGCATTATATGTGTTAATATGAACAAACAAAAGGCTGTTAAGATTATATTCGTCAGTAAAATTTAAATAGTAATTCTGATGTTGCTATTTATTTGTTTATGAGACCAGCTCGAAAAATATCGATCAAAAAGTAGTGCAGGTCAAGATACATCAGAAAACAAAAATTATGTAAAATAATCCATAAACCATCCATTTAAACAAAGCAGGAGATGGTCAAGATTTCATATGGCATTTACATTGTCGCTTATTACGAACATACAGAGTATATTGATAAAGAAGATCTGCATCTGAATGAAAAACTGTCATCTTTAAACTTGATATTTTTTGTTGTGGCTAGTATTAACACATCAAAACTTTTAAAATGAAAACTGTTTGCATATATATGTATTTATACAACAGTTCTGTTTGGTTCTCGAATCTGATTGGCTGATAGCCGTGATATATTTAAGTAATATCAGCACCCGTACAGCCTCTTTACCCTTTGTGTATTACTCCGCCCACATACAGCCAGCAAAAATCAATCACTACAGATCTAAAGTTTAAAAGATGCTTGCTCAGCTGTTAAACTGTCAGCTTATGATTATAAGCCAACGCGAAAGAAAGTTCCTCATACAAAAGGGTTTTTGAGACTCTCCATGTTTGAAAAACAGGGGGTTTAATAATTCAGGATGGCTAATAATTCTGACTTCAACTGTATTTATCAAATATTTCATATTCCTATATTTCATATTGATATGCACCAAACTTACACTTGCACCAAATGTAAATCAGCATGATAGACTTCATATATATTTATCAACATGTTCAGTCTCATTATATTTATCATATGGTCCAATACTGACAAAAAGGTACTTTCTACTAATCATTTTTGTATTACAAATTTAATATCTTATGGACCTGTCCTTGTGACAACTGATTTTTGAGCAGGCTTTGAGATTATCTTCATATTTCTTTTGTATCAATTCTACACCATTTTCATTATTGCCATTATTTAAGCATTGTGTTTGCAATATACAGTCTTCTCTTGCTGTTACAGTTTTTTCTTGTTTGCTTTGATGCAGCTATCAACTTAAACTCCACATTTTCAAAACAGTCAACACACAGGCCTAAATAGTGGCACTTATGGTCAAAATGACACATTTTGCTTTGCAAAAGGCTCTAATCATGCCAACACATTTGAAATATGCAACAAAAGCTAATTTTGCCTTTAAACAACACAACTTGCGAACAAGTATATGAGCTATTTCAATCAATCATTACACAATGGACAACAAAATACAAAATACAGTGTGAATCAGTGCACCATTGCTTGCCATTGAAGACTATGGCCAATGATACTTGTTGTCTTTCTATGTAGGCTGTGTTAAATTGGCCTTTTTTTTTTTTTTTTGCAAAGAATTGGATCCAGAATAAGAAATGCTTTGATAAAATTTTATCAAATTCATGTCATTTTTTCAAACTGTGGCTGAAAAACTGAAATACTGTATAAAAAATAAAAACATTAAAAAATTATAAAAAAAAAAGAACCCAATGAAATTCTGCAAATATCACAGAAAACACATGTAAACCATAAATAAAGTCTATTGGGAGTATAAGACATAGCCACTTGTGACCCACTCCATCTATGCAGGCAAACAACATAGATCTATGAGGTTTGCCGACTGATTGCTAATTGAAGATTTGTTTGAAGGAGTGTTATACCAGTGCTTCAGAGACTTCATACTAATCTTGATAGTTTCAAGTGGTTAGAAATAGATGGTTTCTGTTTGGTTACCATACCTAAAACAATGGAGTTTGGACTGCTTGAATGACATCCGTGTTACGTTTTGAAAAATGTTGGGGGAAATGTGTCAATCCAATGAGAAAGGGTTTACACATTTGCAAGACATGTCTTCTGCTCTGCTGGGATAGTGATGAGAAAAATGGAGTGGAACCTAGTTTCTTTAACCAGGTCATAGCAAACAAGAAAAACTGTAATGTATTCCTCTATTTGCGCAACAAAAAAAAATGCAGTCAGCAGGTGGCGCTCGTCCTTTATCATTAGTACAGACCCCATAAGGTCCAAAAATCGTGGACCAAGTCACCATCACCAACCCCCCAAAATTAGAAAAGGTTCAGTTGTTTAATTTAACATTTGACAGTTTTGCAACGCTTGTCTTCTCTCCGTTATGCAGCGCTCTGATGTAAGATGTTTGATGAAAGCTGGAAACCGGTGACCAGTGACTTTCATAATATTTGTTTTTTCTTCTGTGGAAGTCAATAGTTACAGGTAACCGATGATGGCTTTTGTCGTTTCTTTGCCTACTTTTATTTAAAATATAGGTTGGGTGACTTATAGTGCAACACCTTTTTAAGGACTACACCACTGATCACAATATATTTACACAATATATAAAATATTTTGATAATTGTTAGAAATGTATGGAAGTCAAGGGCTACCAGCTCTGAACAAGTAGAGGTTGAGTAAATAATGACAGACTTTTAGTTTTGGGTGAACTATCCCTTAAATGCAACGTGACAAGAAATGTTTTGCATTTAAAAAAGAAGTGAATCTGTGCACATTATAAAATATTATTAGCAAAACACTTACTTCCCAGCTTGAATTGGACTTGGAAATTTCTTCAACTTTGTTTTGTTACAAATGTATAGTCAGCATTTGAAGTAGACTATTCAACACCCATTCTTATCTTTTCCTGTTCCACCTCAAGCGTTGACTGTATATATGAATTTTTTGAGTCTTTATAAAACCCAAATCATCAGTGATGAAAGTTGAAACACCATCCCAGATTTACATATTGCCTTCAATAATAAACTGTAGATGGAAAATTAGATTGTAGAAATATTGGAAAGATGCAGTATGATTGAGTTTTAACTGGTGAGTCTACATGATTGAGAGATTAAACAGTTACTGAACTCTGAATACTTATCAATCCGGAGTAATATTTGATCTGAAATTATCTTTTTAAAGCTGTAATAGAACTAATCAGTCAAAATGTCAATCAGATTCATTTATCGGTTGAGTATCTGTGAGTCCTATAAGGATTTTCATGCTGCAATCTCCAATATTGACTAATAAATTACCCTTTTGTAGGGCAGACCAAACAGATTAACCATTAATACCTCCATACACGAATGCACCTTCAGTTTGTTGAAAAACAGAAAAATGACAAGTAAATTCAGCCAGAAATGTTTATTCATCAGATTCACAAGGTGACCAACAAGTCAGTGCACATTCAACAAGCAAGGCATCAGCTAGATGACTGATTTAACAAGGCAGATCTTAAACATGAAGCCTCTAAATGTTAACCTCAAAGATTTTACTGCGGGACAACATGGTTTCATGATTTATGCATAGAGTACAACTGGAGGCTTTAGTGGCTGCAGATGATCCGAGTTTAGCTGTCCAGGGTGTGCTTGTCAAACAGGTACTCCGCCATCCTGTTATTTCCAGCATCCATCTTGGAGAGGTTAGTGATGTGGTCACCAAGCTTCTTGATGGCCTCAACCTGCTCATTCAGGTAGTGAGACTCCAGGAAATCACACAGCTGATGAACAAGACATCAGAGAAGATGTTAAGACACCTAATTAAAGTATTAAGGACCAATGTATATTATGGACTTTATTAACTTACATGAGGGTCTCCCTTTTGAGAGGCGACTTTATGCAGGTCCAGCAGAGCCTGGTTGACGTTCTTCTCCAGCTGAAGAGCACACTGCATAGCAGTCAGCCCATTGTCCCACTCATCGCGCTCAGGTTTCTGGAAAAACAAACACGTCAGTGAGCACGTGACGCCCTTCCCCCCTCCACTTTGAGCAGTTATATATGATTGCATCTATACAAAAGTTTTTCTTATTAAAACGCAAACAGGAAAGAAGAAATATGCTCACCTTGATGTCCTGAAGGACAATGCGTCCACCTCTCTTGTTCTGGAACTCCATGAATTTCTCAGCATGTTCGCGCTCCTCCTCACTGTTCTTCTTGAAGAACTTGGCAAATCCAGGAAGAGCCACATCGTCCCGGTCAAAGTAGAAAGCCTGTTGGTTGAAATATGGATTGCGAAAATTTAATAAACACGCAGAGCAACGTGATCTTTTACAGCTAATGGCGTCGTGAAATACAACGTTAGAGAAAGAGTAACGTTAATATTTAAATTATAAAAGTATGTACATCATCAATACCAAGAAAAAACTTCGAAATGTGTTTTATTAATTTCATCAATACTTGCCATGGAGGTGTAGGTGTATCCAGCGTAAAGCTCCAGATTGATCATCTTGTTGATCAAAGCCTCGCAGTCGCGGTCGTAGTTTTGGCGAACCTGGGAATCCATTTCAGATGATTTTTGTTGTTTTGTTATCAAAATGACGGTAAAAAATAATAAATATGAAATGTCAGGTCCTCGAAGTGAAATTCAAGCGAGATCGAAGTTCCGTTCAATCACTGTTGAAGCAAGAACCTCTCCAGATCTTCCTGAAGCTGTGAGTGAAATGAAGGAGCGCGTTCATCTTTTATACGCTCGCAACATGATACGTCAGTGGAACTGAAACCAGCCAATCAAACAGCGAGCTGAACGAGGAAGTGGTAAAAGAGTCAGCTGACAGTCAGTAGGCATTCTAGACAATAGAGATGAGATTTCAACGTGTTTCCTTTTTTCATTATTAATAGCAAACTGATTTGTCAAAATAGCCAAAATGATTTGTCATTATAGGTTCAGTGTGACATATAGAAATAGAAGTAAACACGATGTTTTGTTGATAACCGAACTGTATTTACAAGACATATGCGGTGTTACTAATCAAATATTGATCAGTAAACTTGATTCTAACATTCCTATTAAAGCGATCCAAATAGAGAATGATTAAGCCGACACTTGTTTTCACAACAAACATTCAAGTTTTAACCTTAAACTATTTACAGAAAGAATGAACTGACCCATTTACTGACACAGTTGGCTTATTGCTTTGGTCAAAGTATCAATGTTTGTTGAAAGAGTAAAACTAGGTAAATGCGTAGGCTAATTTTTAACAGTACGGTATTAAACTAAAATGTCTAAGTTGAAAGTACTGTGCAAGTGAGCATAACATTATAGTAACAATGGTGATTTGAGACATCTACTATAACAGCACATGACAGCATGTTTGCTACTTCATATTTCATAACAGCCTGCGGGTGCAAAGGTAATCCATCAGGTGACAGTGACTGAGCATTTTACTGTCATGAATTGCACACGAAGCTTGTTTGTGTAAGCAATAAAAGACGTGGACTCACACTCACAGGACGTGGATTTGCGCCGTCACTGTGACTCAGCAGTATTTCGCTGTTCACTTCTGCATCGACCGATGAGTAAGCGACTCCTAAACTTGAATAAACTCGACAGGGAGTGGAGTGTCTATTTCGGTTTTGTAGTAAACAGTTTCGGCCTGTGTGGCGGGGCATTTCATTCACACATTCCAAAATAGCAACCTAGTCTAACCTTTTTTTTAACCACAATAAACAGGTCAATATTGGGTTTCTTTCTATTTTTCATTAACATTTTTACGAATATTGAAGTTTTTAAATGAATATCAAGGTGAAATTAAAATTTACTTCAATTTTATTATATTTAAGAATGGTTTTCCAGTTATAGCATCACCTTAATACTTTTACACTGGTAAAATCTTTTATATTGAAATACATTAGACTTGTTATAACAGTTCTTTATTTGTCATAATACAACAATCTGTCATGGGGGAACAACAAAATATAATTTCCTTATTTTACATAACTGTGAAAGTGAAACACTTTAAAGTCTCTCCTACTATTTCTAGTCATTCTACATAGTCTAATTAGCACGAGGAAGAAGTTCTCAGAAACGACTACCTGCACTCACAACTATAGCGACTCGTATTTCTTCTTAAAACTGAAAAGTGCTTTCTTATGCAGTTGGGATCCATATACTTTTCCAGACCACAGCCTTTCTCCAGAGCTCTTCTTGAAAAGACGGGTTTAAGTCAGTCCAGATTTTGCCTGCTTCCTTCTCCTCCTCTTCCTCACAGTGTAGCCACAGGCGTTTAAGAGGACTGACACAGCAGTACTGCAGAAACTGACAGCCCTTAAAAGACAAGGTTATGATTATAATCAGATCGGTGCTGACACAACAATTTCCTTGTTCAGAGAAGGCAAAATAAACAGTAGTCATCTTTGCAGAGTCATGCTCTTGTCAAGGACACAAAGAATTCCCACGGGTCTTTTTAAAAAGGTGTGAACTACACCTTAAAAATCAGGGAGCTTTTATATTTTTTGTCATAGGATATCATGGGACTTTTTGACACATTTATTTATTTAATTTTTTAGTATCTGTTTATCAAAGTGCATTGTTTTCAATACCATATTACAGGGGTTCCCAAACTTTTTAGCTCACGACCCCCAAAATAACAATGCCAGTGACTCATGACTAGGGCCAGACAGAATCTGCGGACATTTTTTGCTATTTCTGTGGAGAAATTTGGTAAAAATCTGCGGATTTCTGCAGAATTATTTTGGGAGTATCATAACTAAAACATTAATTAATTAAATTTACTCGGGTAAATAAACAGAATTAATTATGGGCTAAAAGTCTACAGAAATCTGCGGAATTCTGCGTGTGCAGATTCCGTGTGGGGCTACTCATGACCCTTCAGTGTCCTCTGAGGTGGTTATAAATATACAAACGCACACAAAACAATAGGCCCAAATTTATTTTTGGTTTAATTTTGGAGAACGCCACTTGGAGACCTTTAATTGTGGTCTGTATTTATTTTTAATGTACGCGAGTACCATATAGGTGTCAGAAAAAGGTCAACTGCATCTGACGCTATTGCTGTGTCTTTAATATAATGTAAACACCCCAGGGGTCACAATCTAAAAGTGGGAAAAAACGAAATGCTGATGGCTTTTAATTTGCATGTTGTTGTTGTTGTTGTTTTTTATGTAATTATTGACTACTACTTTTGTCTTCTTTAGATTATGTATGAAATATGGTAATTATAAGAGTTTAATAACAGGAATTAGATTTTTGGAAAATCACAACGCGATCCCTCCTCATTGTCCCGTGACCCCCACTTTGGGAACCACTGCCATATTTCATCACATGGTTTCACATCTGTTGCTATGGTTCGGCTATAAAACCATCAGCTGGTAATCCAAAGTCAAATGTAGTCAATAGATTGTACTTGTTAACCTAACATGTCAGGATAATATACATTTTAGGAGCTTTGGCTTCAAAATGACCACTTTAAAGACAGACAAAAACAGTAGATGACAAAAAAAAAACAAAGTGTAAAATATGTAACTATTATCAAGCTGTAAAATAGGGGAGGGGGGCACTTTGCAGTCACACAAATAGCTAGTACTTCAGTTTTTTTAAAAAGTGTTTTTGTTATAGTGGCTTTTTAAATACTGCAGGTAAAACCATTTTACTATTATGCAAAGCACAACAACAGCCTGTTTTTCCATTAATTATACATCATAAAAATTCAGCTTTTTAGACTGTGAAAGTCAGGGACAAGTAAGAGAATTTTATAATTGGTTTAGAACGGGAACTCTTTGTTTTTGTTCTTTGGTTGCATTTTGATACCGGCACATGCTTTTCTCTATTTTGTTTCCCTCACCTCTTTACTTCCCCAATACCAAATGCCTTGAATCACGCTGTGGTTAGCAAGTGCCTGGGTCAGCTGATCCCTCCCTCCTGTTATTATACTAACCAGACCACCAGGCAAATCAGAGGCCTGCAGGACCTTCAAACAAACAAAAAAACAGAAGTTGAATATATAACAAGCCAAAAAAAAAAAAAAAAAATAGAAAGTGGAGATTTATTGTGAACACTGAGCGTTAATGGTGGTCATCTGATCATTTGAATTGTGAAGTGCTTTAAATAAATGCAAAAATGTGTCCATGTGAAAAGCAGCAAACCTGTGTAAATTCGAGCGCTGGAAAAGGGTATTTTTCACTTGGCACCATGATAACAGCATTGCCCATAGCAACAGCTGCCCCAAGCACAGACACCAGAGAGAGCAGTGGCTTGGAGTTGGGGAGAATCACTCCCAGCACTCCTAAAGCCTCTGGAGTGGACAGGGCAGAGCCAGACTGGGGAGGGAACTTTAACGAGACAGACACATAATTAAAACTTAAAAACAACTCCAAGGTTCTCCATATATTTAATCCAGCACTGTTTATTCTTACAGGAGTTCCACCCTGCTCCTTATCACAGCGTGCAGCCCAGTCAGAAAGCTTGGAGATGCTAAGCTCCACCTCTTTCTCTGCCTCTTCCAATGGGATTCCGGTTTGAGTCTGGATTGACACGGCCAAATCCTGCCTCCTCTTCTCTAAACTGTCAGCTAGTGAATACAGAGACTGAGAGCGTGCAGCCGGGCTCTTCTTCATCCACCTGTAAACACTTGTTCAGTCACTATTTTCCATCAAACGTGTTTTTATCCCTAAGCTAACTTCCAAATGCTCTTACCCTGGCTGGACCTTATTGGCAGCCTCAACTGCGTTCCGGACATCCTTCCTGCCTCCATCCGGACAGTGGGCCAGGACAGCGCCTCCAGGGGCCAACACTGATCTGCTAGAACCAGAGTCGGCTTTTCGCATTTGACCACCCACTAACTGTGAGTAAAAGCGAGGGACACTGTGAGAGAAACAAAGAGAGAAACTCATTACAGAAGAAAGCAGTAGTAGCAGTTTCTACCATTCATCTGCTGGAAACAAGAACTGAAAATTAGTAATAAAAAAGGCATGGATTAATGATACAGAAGGAAGACAAATTATCATATGCATAAACATGTCTTTTTCACCAAGAAGGTTCTTACAGATTCCAAAGGCAGATACTGATTAGATCAGGGCCTGGTTAATATGTGGACTTTGGGGGGTTTACATGTTGCTTGGTCAGCTTGTATGTCTTAGTATTTGGGCTTTGGTCACATGGTCAAGAAAGATACTAAATAGTTGGTAAACTTTGCTCTGCCTCTTTTCCTGCTCTGCACTTTTAATGCTAGGCTCCTCTCCTGCTCTGGAAGCTCTTGTCTCTGACTCTACTGTGATCAGGCTCTCTTTGGGGCCTACTCACTGCTCTTTGTCTTCCTCTCTCTCTCAGGTTACTTTATTTTACATAAGCTGGCTACAATTATTATCTTATGTTTTTATCACTTCGTTTTATCTTTTCATGAAGTTATTTGTAACTAATTCAGTCATAACCATAGAGAATTATTGTCATTAAGTCATTTTAATTTTAAGTAATCTGTGAATTACTTTTGATTTAACATCAAAATTTAATTGCTCCATATTGTAATACTATACAATCAAATAACAGCAACGCTCTCCCAAATGTTTAGCTATTAATACTGCACTTATTTCCATTTTTGGTGTATGATTGCAGAAGGATGATCTGACTAGAAAATGTACAGTTTTCACCATCATACTTGATAACTCACAGTTGTTGAACTACACAGTTCA